AATTGTGAGTTCATTACCTTTGTAAATTGTGAGTTCATTACCTTTGTAAATTGTGAGTTCATTGCCTCTGTAACTTGCTCAGCTATCAAAACTTTGGAGTCCCGTCCCTGGACCAATTATGTACCTCTGTAATCTTTTGACTACCGCCCACAGGATGGGTATGGGGTGCATAATAAACATATTAAACTAAACTAAACTCAACCAAGCCCACTGTGGTGTATTTTAAAGGATAATAGAGCATAAGAACGAAGGAACCTCGAAGGCCTATTGGCCCATTCTAGACAAGTCTAACTCACACCTTATCTTCCCCACCCATACTCCCACCCCACCCACACCCTCTCATGTACACGTCCAACCTATATTTAAAGTTAACCAAAGTTTTCGTTCCCTAATGACGCTACCTTGGGTCTGTTTCACTTCATCTACGAACTCTATTGCCAAACCAATACTTGCCCTACATCCCTTGGAACACTTATAATTTGTCTAACTTGAAATTATTGCTTTGAGGTCAATGGCATATTGCGCTTTATATACCTTTGTAGACGACAAATTCTAAATAAAATTAACTTTTATAAAGCCACCTCATTGAAAGGCAGGGCGCCACGAGTACACTAGATACAACAAAACACTGTTGTCTTGTTAGTGTACACTGGCGCCAGCTTTTCATTGAGGAGGCTTTTAATGTAATTTTATTTAGAGTTTTGTCGTTATAAAAGGTAGGTCAATGGCCAACCAGTGCTCTCGTCCCATTATTACCCCCTCAAGGAAGGTTTCCCTTGATGTTGTGTGAGGGCTCTTGATTTAGGGAATTGGATCTGTGATCAAGTTCCCCGAATTAAGCCTGAATGCTTCCACATCCCCCCCCCCCCCCAGGCGCGTATAATCCACCGGGTTTAGCGCTTCTCCCCATGATTAAATATAATAATAATCGGCACATATAATATCCCAATTATAACATTTTTATCATATCCTCCCTAATTCTTCTGTAGCAAATCTGTAGACCGAATATTACATAACGGTTATTAGCAATGCATTGCACATTTTACTTAGTGGCTTTATATATAAATAAAAAAAAATATGTTTTATGGTTGTAAAATATAAATAAACGTTGTCTTAACTATGGGAAGAAAGGGGCAGCCCCACCCTCCCTATGTGGCTTAGTTTGACGACAATTTCCATTCTCTAGCTCGGAGCTGAGCCAGTGATGTAGCAAGTTGCTTGTAGACTGATTAACCCATGGTGGAAAAATCTGTTCAAATCAAGGTTCTAACGGTTTAGTGCTCCCCTTGAATTATAATAACAAGATACCATGCGTACGGGTCTTATCCATAAACTTCCCTCCCTCTAACAAGTTTCAAAGTCGTGGATAAACTCCTGTATTCTGGCAGTTAATATGGAAATATCCAAGATGAAATAATACTAAGACTAAGCTACCCACATTTCTAATTTTATTTGACTGCAGTACATTTCTTATCTGTAATGCATCTTTTGCCATTTTTTGGTTTCTTAAATGTAAACTGAATCAAAAGGAGTAAACCATTAAAAAGATTATTACAATGTAACTATCATGCTCATTGGAGAACCTATGATATTTATATTTTGCTTTATACCCAACAGAAACAATAATCAACCAAGTTACAGTCATAGGATGGTGACTACCACCACACCTCAGCATTTTCTCATTAATAACTGGATACCTCAAAACAATTCCTGGAATTCTCAAATATTACAGATTGTATGTAAATTTTTTTAGTGTAAAAGTGATTTCTTAATTTAACTTTGCAAATGGCTTTATAATAAAAAAATTGAATGAATAAGCAAAGCTAGCTTCAGTTTTTATGAAAGTGAGTCTATTTTTTAAACCAGAATTTCTGAAATTAGGCAAAGTAATACTTTATACAGTATGAACAAGTTTTGTGAACACACTGAAATAAAGTCCAATCATTTCTAAGTGTATTATTTCCATAAAAATTGTTTTGTGGGGGGGGGGGGTGTCATCAGTTTTGGTGAGATATGACCATTGTTGAAACTTGCTTGTGAGGGAATCATAGAATCAAATATTTTACACCTGTAGAACACAATTTGCTAATACAACATATATTTTGGAAGGCAGCTTCCGTTTATTAGGTTGACTTTCAAATTCAATTCAAGTTTATTCTTCTATAAAGATTACAATGTTGAATTTACAGAATTTGTTGTTGTGTGGTTTACATGTAAAGTTAAATATTATTACAGAGTGTACCCTAGAACGCCCTAGCATGGCTAGGAATGCATTTCGGGGCAACTTAGGTTTAATTCTTATTTTAAAATATACAAAATTAGATGTAAGTTGGTATTATTGGCTATGTGACTAAATACTAGTTCGTGAGTTTTAGCAATGTGAATGCTATTTGTTTTTGGCACAGTACATAGTTTCAGTATTGAGTATCATAGGATTCCATTATTTAGATTGAGATTAATATTTCTGTTTTTAAATTGGTCAAATGGTGAGTGAGTGCAAGTGTGAACCACCAGGTGGTATTCGTGTAGTTAGATGACGGGTTGTATCAGGGAGATAAGAATTTACTAAAGGTAGTTAAGAAGGTGATGAATGTGTCTCAGTTCAAGAGTTCTCAGGTAGGGTGTTCCCAGATTTTAGGCCTTTGCCATACATTTAATTTTGAAAAGGTTTAGAGTCCCGAACGGGGGGGGGAATGTTCGTAAGATGTTTGTGTCTGGAGTATGCTGTGGTTCAGTCACAACTATCAAGAAGCAGTTTTAGATCAAGGTTGATATTGAGTTTAAAGGTCCAGTCGATGTAGATTGCACAGTAGTAATGTGGATGCCCCGGTGACCTGGTGGCTAAAAGCTCCCCCGCATCACACACTGAGAGGCCGGTTCGATTCCCGGTGGGTGAAAACATTTCGACACGTTTCCTTACGACCTGTTTTCCTGTTCACGCTAGCAGCAAATAGGTACCTGGGTGATAGTCGACTGTGTGGTTCGCATCCTGGGGGTACAAGAATATGACCCCAATGAAATAATTTAAGACAGTCCTCGATGACGCACTGCTTTCTGGTATCCAGGTGGCTAACCCTCCGGGTTAAAAATCCGAACAAAATCTTATCTTAATCTTATCTTATCTTATGAAACAGTGGCGTAAGTTATAATTCTAAGAAGATGGGGGGTGAGTTGCCAAGGATGGTATTAGTGATTATTCTTACTGCAGCTTTTTGTGGTATATTATTGGCTTAGGTGTTTCAGCAGTTGATCCCAAGCACAAATAGCATAGTGAGGATGATAAAAAAGGAGTGTATAGTGTGAAAGGGCATTTTGCTGCACGTAGTATCCGTTATCAAGAACATGGTACATCATACAAACTTCTAACAGTCAGTATACACATACCTTTACTTACCTTCCCTTTCCTTTCTTTTATGTTTCTTACTATTTGTTAATCCTGTAATATTTCTTCTCCAGTCTAGTAGGCCTGAGACCAGGCCCTGGGAAGATAATATCCAGAACCACTAATAGAACAACTGATGACTGTTAACATTCTGGAAAACTGCTGACCTGTGTTGTACATAACCAATAGATCTTTAATGTTTAGTTGCTATAGTGATTAAATTTTTTACCTCTGTCCTACCTGGGAGTGATCATGTCAGATGATCTCACTTTCAAGAACCATAATATTGTATCAATCGCATCTGCTAGAAAAATGACAGGTTGGATAATGAGAACCTTCAAAACTGGGTATGCCAAGCCCATGATGACACTCTTAAGAACATAAGAACATAAAAACGAAGGAACACTGCAGAAGGCCTACTGGCCCATGCGAGGCAGGTCCAAGTCTCCTACCGGCTTAAGCCAATGCACCCAACCTAGTCAGGTCAGGTCACATTGACTTAAAGGAGGAACACGGCAACCGACTGTTAGCACAAGCTATAGGTCTAACCACACCCCACCCAAAATCTACTCTTGTATTTATCCAACCTATTTTTAAGCTACACAACGTTCTGGCCTCTATAACGGTACTTGGGAGTTTGTTTCCACTCATCCACAACTCTATTACCAAACCAGTACTTTCCTGTATCCTTCCTGAATCTGAATTTTTCCAACTTAAAACCATTGCTGCGAGTCCTGTCTAGGCTAGATATTTTCAGCACACTTTTTAAACATCCCCTTTATTTATTCCTGTTTCCACTTATACACCTCAATCATATCCCCCTAATTCTACGTCTTTCTAGAGAGTGCAGTTTCAGGGCCCTTAGTCTATCCTCATAGGGAAGGTTTCTGATACATGGGATCATCTTTGTCATCCTCCTTTGTACATTTTCCAGAGAATTTATATCCATTCTGTAATACGGTGACCAAAACTGTGCAGCATAATCTAAATGAGGCCTAACCAAGGATGTATAGAGTTGAAGAACAACCTGAGGACTCCTATTATTTATGCTTCTTGATATGAAGCCAAGGATTCTATTTCTTCAGGTCGCTTGTTCTATCTAGGCTGGAATATTGCTGCACACTAACTGCCTTTCAAGGCAGGTGAAATTGCTGACCTAGAAAATGTACAGGGAACCTTCACAGCATGCATAACTGAGATAAAACACCTCAATTACTGGGAGTGCTTGAAGCTCCTGAACCTGTACTCCCTGGAATGCAGGCGGGAGAGATACATGGTTATATACACCTGGAAAATCCTAGAGGGACTAGTACCGAACTTGCACATGAAAATCACTCACAACGAAAGCAAAAGACTCGGCAGATGATGCAACATCCCCCCAATGAAAAGCAGGGGTGTCACTAGCACGTTAAGAGACAACACAATAAGTGTCAGGGGCCCAAGACTGTTCAACTGCCTCCCACCATACATGAGGGGGATTACCAATAGACCCTGGCTGTCTTCAAGCAGGCACTGGACAATCACCTAAAGTCGGTACCTGACCAGCCGGGCTGTGGCTCGTATGTTGGATTGTGTGCAGCCAGCAGTAACAGCCTGGTTGATCAGGCTCTGATCCACCATGAGGCCTGGTCACAGACGGGGCCGTGGGGATGTTGACCCCTGGAACTCTCTCCAGGTAAACTCCAGGTATGTATGGCTGGTTACTGTAGTAAACTTAAGGGGTTTTCGCCCCTAAAGCCACACCTCACCCTTGCCAAATAGAAATAAGCATTCAAGGAACCAGCTATCTTTCTCTTAACTCCTAACATAAGAATATAAGAATGGAGGAATAATGCAGCAGGCCTACTGGTCCATATTTGGCAGGTCCTTAAAACCAAACCCAGGACTCCCATACTAGGTTGAAGAATCCCATCTGAAATGGTATATAGGGAAGAAGAGCAAGTCTTTGCAAGAGACACCAGTGCAATATAATGTGAACATCTGTTAGTGACTTGATAAAGCATGGGCAAAACATCATCAGTAAAGGATTGCATATAGTGACTTTATACTGATTTATTGTCTTTTACCTATGGCCAGTCAGTAAGGTGTGAGGGTATTGATACCCTTAGTAATGATATTAAATATAATAAGTGAATAGAGGTGGTAATTTTAATACAGTTACAAGTAAAGGGACAGTCACATATGGGAATGTAAACTAGGCTCTACCAGCCTTCATATGATCATTTGAAATATGGATTTAAGTCTATAATGATGACAATTGTGAGAAATTATGTTGGTGATTTTCACAGGTACAGTCCTGTGAAAATCACCCATATAATTTCACACACATAGCTGGGGAAAACTCTGGCACATCTAAAATAGATTACACCTGTAGTTGTACCTCAGAGATAGGTAGGACTTTAGCAACAGTGGTTCACTGCACTGTCCCTCTTTTGATGCCCACCTTCTCAGCTCCCCAAACTCACACATCTGGACCTTAAATTATTTGACCATATAGTTCTTAAACTTATTAACCCTTCAACGGTCCAAACGTATATAGTATATGTTTTTTCAACATCTGAGAGTATGTAAAAAAATGTAGATCTTTTTTGTTTTACATTTGAAAACGTGTAAAAAAAACTTTTATCTACATTTTTTTGTTATATTTGAAAATATGTAAAAAAAAGTAGATCTACTTTTGGAGCACTACGAATTTGAACGTCGATCTGTTTGGACCGTTTAAGGGTTAAACAAATCATTCCAAGACAGTAACACTGGCTGTATTAAATTTGGTTGTGAATTTTATATCAAGAAAAATTTATTGTACTTGACAGTCTTAAGTAATTTGTTGGTCCACTGATTTTACTTATTATACACACAGTTGTCACATTACATAAAATTAATACAATTACATTATAAGTGAATGTACATGAAAATTAAAATACTCATCTATTTCTTATGCTTTACATCCTAACGCCTCCCTATAGGTAAGCAACTAATATTGGCCAATAAATAGTTTCATTATCTGTTGTGTGAGAGTTAAAACACTGGGAGGCAAAAACACACTATTATCATCCATGTGGTGGTCAATTCTCCATTTTGTTAACACCACATCTCATGTACACCTAATGTCATTCTCCTTTGTACAACCACTGTATCATGCTGAAATAAAATATTATTAATATTATCAGCATTAATCTGACGATTGCACTTTATATCTGTATAGTGCAGTTGTCAGATTGTACTACACAGATAGTACCAAATTTATGCTGATACTATTTATGTCAGCTTCGATTATGTCTAATTAATTACAACACTAATTAGATCAATGTACACATTACTACTACATTACACAGCTTCCTCTCCTGAACGTTCTCATACACAATACATCTTATTTAATTCAGTAACACTTCCAGATGTGTAATACATTGTCATTATTTGAATATTAATTTCTTTTCAACATTTTAATAAGCATGTTTTATTTAACTGATTACCATAAAAAAGAGGGGATGTTGGTTCCTCTGTGGCTTAACATCTTTTAAAAGTCACATCAACACTATACACCTACACTACATTATACAAACACTATTATATCCTTCAATTATTATACTAATTACAGGAAAATTATCAAAATTTTTCACAACAATGATACAGCCTAACCTGACTTAGAGACGCACTCGTTTACCGACGATGTGGACCTACAACGGGCTCTCTAAATAATGTATATTAGAGCTGATTTCTTTTATTCTGTTTATTACAATACGTATATGGTAAACTGCTGTATAAACATTTAAAAAAATAAAAGAAATGTTATAAATGGTGTAAAGGTGACAGTAAACAATATCAAAGATGGTTGACACAAACCCACTACCATTATAGTATGCTCCTCACTATAGTGATGAATTTGTTTACCGATACGGTCTTAGGAACAGAACTCCGTTGTTACTGGATGTTTTGTGTATTTCACATTCTCTGTAAAATCTAGAGTAGACTGTAGTCCATGAAAATCAGAGATCAACAGTTTCTGAAATGCTCAAACCACTCTATCTTGCACCATCAATCATTACACTGTCAAAAGTCACTTAGATCACATTTCCTCATTCTAATATTCAGTCTGAACGTGTCTGCATGCTTTTAGGCATTGAGGTGCAGCCAGATGATTGGCTGATTAGATATTTTCATTAACAAGCAGGTGTACAGGTGTATTTAAAAAGGTGACTACTATGGGTGTGTGTACACACACTCCTTGTTAAGTGGAGAAGAAATCTTCCTCCATAAGCCATGAGTGTCATAAGAGGCGACTAAAATGCCGGGAGCAAGGGGCTAGCAACCCCTTCTGTATATATTACTAAATTTAAAAGGAGAAACTTTTGTTCTTCCTTTTGGGCCACCCTGCCTTGGTGGGATACAGCTGGTTTGTTGAAAGAAGATATATATACAGATGGTTTGTATGTATAAACATATACTACTGTGCATACATAGACATACACACACATTACATATAGACTGAAAGGTGACTTAAATTACCTTTTTCAGATTCTTGGATGTGTGGAAATTGGGATCATTGGACACTACATCCATTGGTCTTATAATACAGATGTCTTAGTGCCAGAGCTGTTCTTCCTGCAAGTAGCAACAACTTGCCTCATCACCACGACACTCCTCCTCTTCTCATTCCTGTGTTCCATTGCTACTGCCTCCATCATTCCCAAGACCCTCTTTGTAAGTTTTCTCTGTTCATTGTGTTTAATAACACTGTCATACTAATGTACATTATATATGATTAAGGTTGTTTTATGAGAATATTTACAACTAGATAAATGGGAAGAAATACCTATTATTCATGGAGTAGGAAAAAATAAGGTGTTGCATAGTATTATTACAATACATATTGCTGGAACACTATATACTGTACATATATTGTATATAAATGCATGTTAGAACAGGTAGGATTTTATGACCCTGTGCAGTATAGTGTATAAGTAAGTATTCCTCTGAGTAGCTTCTAGTCCAAATATTTCAGCCATTTACTGTACCTCGGAAAGAAAGAAATCAGTGTGCCATAGATCGTTTCTGAGTTGGTCATTAATGGGAATCATATTTATTAATTAGAAATTCTTTTGCACTGTTGATTATCATGTTTTGGGTCCTGCAGGAGATGTTATATCACATAGTGGCAGTATTGCTTTACTTCGCCAGTGCCCTTTGCCTCCTCATTTACCTGACCGACAATACTGCTTATCGGCGGAAAGGTCACAGTCTCACACTTCGGACAGCTGCGAGTGTAAGTAGCAGTGAAGCGTGTCCTTCCAACGGTGCTGGATGGTAGATGTTTCAGGCTTTTTTCTACTAGTAATTTAAGAACTGAGTTTGATAAGGGTTTATTTTTGTTCTAAAAACTTTTATCACATTAACACAACTACTGTAATATTATTCGGTATTTTACTCAGTACTTAGTACCAGTAAGACAAAGAACCTGAAGCATTCATTTTCTCCATTAATAATTCTGACATCTTGGTTCCTAGACACATAATTTTAATTTTTGTTTACTTTTACAATAAAGTACTTACAAAATTCACTGTTCTTTGTAAACTATAATTTGTGAAGTAGGAACCACGATGGCTGTTGTGCTGCCTCATGCATACTCTATGAAATGTTCGATTACCAGTCAAAATACAAACATTTCAAAGTTAGAAATAACCAGATGTGCTGTACTCAAATAAGATGAGTTTGCAATGGTAAGAGGTGAGCATTACATATTGTATAATTGAGGCACCAGTAACCCCAAGTTCAGGAGTAGTAGAAAAGTATGCATGTGACTGAGGTGTGGATTTTTTTTACCCTTTAGGTTGTCCTGTTACATGGTACACTGTCCTACCTTCTAGTGTGTTCTTCTATTAACCTACTGAGGGAAGTGGTGTCCAGGAACGAAGGATATAAAATATACGAAAAAGGCTACAACTCTAAAATATTTTCAGGGGTGAGTGCACTTTCAGTGATGAAGCTGGCATTCATGTATGAAGGAATTTACAGAGATAATACAGATGTAACGAATTACTTCAGCTTGTCAGTACAGTACCGTAATGGCATAAGCTGTCAGTATGCATACCCACATCAGGACAATGGGTTGTAGCTTTATATCAGAAAACCTGCTTTGAACTATTAATTCTTACTTGAACTCGCAAATACTTCAGCTTATGCTGAATGATATTACTTTTATGATTTTCTTCTATGTAAGAGCATATCAGTGCAGTAAAATAACATAAGGTTCTTACCTGAAGCTGACTGTATAAGGTCCTCTACTTAATTGATCTCAGTTTGCTAGGAAATATCATTAGTAGTTGGTTGATGGACAGCAACCATCCACAGTTATGCTACTATCATGTCATATGAGTGGGAAATGGAAGCCTTTTAAATGTTTTGCATTCATGCAGGATTGTTGATCTTTTCTTTCCATCTCTCGAACATGTAAGATGGCAGACAAACCGTACAAGTTTCTACTTACATTCAGTATACGCTTATATTTACTATCCTGTGTACAGTATTTCTTCTTAGCTTTTATATGTACTTGAAATAATGCTTGCCCAGTTGATGAGGCCTGGCATGAGACCAGTGACCATTAACAGATATATAGTAGTCCATAGATATGTAGAGAAAAGTGCATACACTGTCTTCTATCTCTCGCAAAAGAATTACTATGGGAGACGAGTAACAGAGCACTCTGACTCCTACTTATGCTCTTCTGTGATGAATGTACATCAGAGGGCTGCATTGTCTTGAACTTCAAACACTGATTTTTCAATCATTCCAGTTTTCCTTCCGCTTTCTCTGTACTGCATCTTATGTTTCCTTTGTTCTCTCCATCACATTTATACCATTTTTTATATTTCTGTTTTTCCAAAATTATAAGTATGAAAGGAAGTGAGCAGTGCTACATAGTGTACAGTGTTTTCATTTGTCTTTTAATATGAAATAGAGAAAGTACAGTGCCTGCACTCTGAAGGAGGGGCAGAGATATTACAGTTTGGATGGGCATCTGAACTGGAGTATTGGCACACCTCTGGCATAACAGTAATGGAGTGAGTGATGATGAAAGTGTGGCTTATTTTTTGGGTCACCCTACCTCAGTGGGAGATGGCTGGTGTGTAAAAAAAAAAAAAAAAAAAAAAGGAATGGGGATGATTACTGATTATATCCAGAAGAAGTTTTGTAAAAAATTATGTTCATTATGGATTGAAAAATTGATTCATGATGAGATACTAATTTGTCTTTTCAGGGTCTGGGACTAGTGAACTGTGCTCTGTATGTCCTCTCCAGTGTCTATTCTGTCAGGACCTTCCGCCGAGGTTAAATATTGATTGACACCTTCAGTTGCACGAAAGACTGATTGGAAATCACAAGAAGTTCTGTAAAGGAGCATCTCTTTTTAAATAGCTTCTGCAGACTTATATATTTTGGAATATGGTATGTTTATTCCTAAACTTAATTCAGAGATTTCCAGAATTGAAATTCTGATAAAATAAAACAATCATTCTTGAATGTGACTCCTTACTCTAAAGTGCATATTTGTATCCTTTAGCACAACCAACAATATCAGTTAGCATTTAAACTCTTAACATTTTGAATTCTTTTGATAGTGTCTTGAGTATTACAGTAATTTTATCTTGGATTCTTTATTGAATTCTTATTATTTTTTAAATTCAAAATTTATCAAATGAATGTAAACTCTTTTTGAATGATACAATTGCTTAGTTAGAAAATTTCCATTAAATAAAGGTCATTTTTAATAACTAAAAAAATTAAGGCCACATTAAATACAGTTTATGATGAATTGATTGACAAAGGAAGTATGTTTACAAATCTTCATCATTTTTACATCTAGGAAGTTATATAACATCACTGCTAAACATCATCCATCAAATACATGACACAAATTACATATATGCCTTTTATGAACAAAGAGTTCTTTACATGCACACAATGTACATAATTTGCTTTCTGTTAAAATTACAGAAAGCTAAGCATTAGTTAACCCTGCCTATGTTTTATATTTAACTTGTATCTATATTTAATAATGAATATTATTTTCACATTTTCTCTGGCTTCAAAAGTGTTCAATATACCACTTAGGTATTATGCAATTTGTATCTAACTCTAGGAATTTATAGTTCATGTAGTGTAATTGTGCTGGAGTTGTGTAGTTATCATAGTGCAGTATACCCAAAAAAAATTAATGGCTTTGCTATTTAATATTATCATCATCTTCAGGCTTGGCATCTTTGTATTAATGTATGTACTAATTTAAGTGTAGATATGATGTATATTCTCCTCATATTTTTACTTCTTCATACAAATTTTCTACATATATACAGCACTACTGTAGTTCGATGTAGTATTTATATTTTTCCATAAAAATAAAAATGGTGACCATTTATGTCATACATAAAGCTCTCATTTTATACTTCTTTTTTTACCAGTTCTCTTTGAATAAGAAACAGGAGAAATATTTATAATTAGTAATAAACCCAATCATTGTTTTACAAACTTACTTTAGATTTATATAGAGTCTTGGATGAGCACTGCCTAGTTAATAGGATATGGAATTTATATGGTTTAGGTATGACCTCATGTGGCAGGATAAACAGAGAGAGAGTTACCTTGTGTTTAATAATCTGTCCTGTTTCCTGACAAACCTTACCTAACCTATCCTTGTGTTTAATATTGCAAAGTGTAAGTCAGACTTATAAAGCAAAGAAAGGGTTCATCTTTTAAGAAACTTTATTTCTGCAATGCAGTATTTAGTGTTCAGATGCTTCAACAGTATTTTTATCTTATTTTACTATTTATAAGACAATATTATTTACATATTTAAAACTATTGTGAAAATATGTACATTCGTTTTAATATGCAAATAGACTGTATAGTGTACACAATTTCAGACCTGGAACTATAAATAACTTCTATTTATTTCTGTATCTAACTACGTATATATATGTATATATATATGTTTTTTTTTTTTTTTCAACGAACTGGCCACATCCCACCGAGCCAGGGTGACCCACAAAAGAAAAATGAAAGATTTTCTTTTTATATTTAGTAATTTACACCGGAGAAGGGGTTACTAGCTCCTTGCTCTTGGCATTATAGTTGCCTCTTATGACATGCATGTTTTACTAAGGAAGAATTCTTTTCCAATTCCCCACAGATATCTATACTGTATAACTCTTCTTCTTCTTTCAACAAACCAGCCATACCCCACCAAGGCGGGGTGGCCCATAAGGAAAAACAAAAGTTTCTCCTTTTAAATTTGTAATTTATACAGGAGAAAGGGTTACTAGCCCCTTGCTCCTGGCATTTTAGCCGCCTCATGACATGCATGGCTTACGGTGGAAAAATTCTGTTCCACTTCCCCATGGAGAATCTGTATATGTATTCATATACATATATGTGTATGTATGTATATTGATACATATATGATATGAGTTATGCCTTTAAGGACAATGATTTTAAATAGAAAACTCATACTTGATATCTTTTTGTACATTATTATTCACAACTTGTTTTCAGTATATGCAATTATTATTTGATGATAATTTAATGAGTATTTGAATAAAAGGACAGTATAAAATTTATGTATTGGTAGTTTTAAAAGCCTCTCTCTCTCTCTGCCTATCATACTACTGTATGGACATTTGCTAACCATTCTGAAACTTACAGGAATATTATTATTATGTACATGTAAAATTTTTACTAAGGATCTATTTAAGTGAATGTATCAGTGTAATGATAATTTAAGCTATTTGTTACCTTTATTTTGACTTTTATTTCTATTTTCTATATAGAACCTCACTTAAACATTTTTAACTGCAGGCCATAATTTGTATAATACTATAGATTTGTTACCAGGGTTTAAAGTCTATCGACTACACTAGGGTCATTAAGGTTGTATACTATAGTGTTAAATGTTTCTTGAAATCAAACACAAGAATTTAGAAATTTTTAATTTACAAAAGTTGTACTAATTCTATTTAAAATCATTATTACTTATAATTACTTATATATCATTATTACTTATATAATTATGCTGTACAAAAAAAATAAATACAGTCTGTCATGCTTGCCTTATTGAGCATCAGGACAGCAGTCTACTCTGAGATTACTCATGTGTATTAATCTTTAGTGGCACTTTGCTTCTGGAGCAAAAGTTACTGTTGTATATGAATAATCTTTTAGAGTAACTACAAGTTTATAAAAGAAAAGTTTTGATATTGGTGCTAGTCACTGCTGTGACAATATTTATCTTTATATTGTGTAACACATTTTATCTGCTTCATTTTGGGTAATTTTTCCTGGCATAGTATTATGCATATCTAGTCGCAGTTCAAGCTCTTGTATTGTCTTAACTGTACTAAATAATGTAAATAAATTATCAAAACATAATTCACAGCTTTTATCTTCCCTTTTTAGAAACCATGATAAAAATACTGCAGCAGTTTGCATATTATTAGGTAAGTTTGTAAGGAAATAGGACAAGTGTTTCCTGATGCAGGTCTTAGTCATATGATGACCCACAGTTGGAGCTTTTGGTCATCTGACCGAGGCCTTCCACTGGCTTACCCCTCCACCCCCATTAAAAATTATGGTTATGGAATATTGCATATTATTAAATTCCTAGGAAAGAATTGTACCCATAGAGGTCATATAGTGCCTGCAAACTGTGAGCTAATCAGGTTTGATCCAAGGGTGGCTCCAATTCCATGGATCAAGAGCATTTCACTAACATTAATGCAACTGGAAGGGAAATTTTTTTTGTAAAACATACTAAACTGTCTTGCAAAGAGTATTTATATTATCAGTATGTAAATAAAAGAATATTTTTAGAAGTTTATTAGAAATACTTCTAATATTTTACTGCTACACAGTTATCATGTCTCATGTATTTGATACTGTTACATCTTATATGCCCCTCAGAGAAGGTTCCTTGATGTTGGTGAGGGGCTCTTGATTTAGGGAATTGGATCTGTGCTCCAGCTCCCTGAATTAAGCCTGAATGCCTTCCACATCCCCCCCCAGGTGCTGTATAATCCTCCGGGTTTAGCGCTTCTCCCTTGATTATAATAATAATACATCTTATATGAAAGGACGAAACAGCTGCAAAATAAAAATAAAATTACAAGAAGACTTGCTGTTATACTAATGGGAAATTCACTGTCCATTTAACATTAATGTACAAAATTTACATAAACATTAACACATTTCTACAAGGTAAGGTCATTTTATTTTTTTATGTAGAAGCCTAATATACAGTACTCGCCTAACACGGGTAACACAGCACGGGTGAAATGCTGGGCATGTTTCCTCACCAGTATCAAGGAGCTTCACTTCAGAAGAGGGATGCTCTGGAGACTTATCAGGATCTTTTATACCTCTTTCTCCAGCCTGTTAAGTTTTAAGGCTCAAACAAGTTGAGAACTGTTGCTGCAAAAAAAAGTGACATCTGCTTTCTAGAAATAATCCGTAAACTGTTCACTGGAGTGGTGATGCCTATCAACATAATTTTAAGCTTTGGCATTAACAAGATAAAAAAGGAGTGACAGATGCTGATTCTATTTCGCTACAGTTTCTTGAAGGACATACAAACAAGTCTTGTTGTGATTTACAGGACCCCCAATTGATGTAAGTCACTTTGACTTTTGGATTATCCAAGGTATATACACATATACAGTGGACCCCCGGTTAACGATATTTTTTCATTCCAGAAGTATGTTCAGGTGCCAGTACTGACCGAATTTATTCCCATAAGGAATATTGTGAAGTATATTAGTCCATTTCAGACCCCCAAACATACACGTACAAACGCACTTACATAAATACACTTACATAATTGGTCGCATTGGGAGGTGATCGTTAAGCGGGGGTCCACTGTATTACTATGTAGTAATTTGTGTACCTGTTCCTGAATAAACTTACTTAACCTTGATAGGGAACACAGTAGACTTCTATGGGATGAAACTACTAAGACATCTAGATAGGAAAATGTTATGCTAATGGGAGATCTTAACTTCAGCCAAATTGATTGGACCAATCTGACAGGAAATCTGGAGTCTAGTGGCTTTCTTGCAACAATCCAGGATTTTTTTTTTAAAACAATCTGTGATTGAGCTAACTAAGAAATAAACATGCTTGATGGTCTAGCTAACAAAATCACTGTATTACCGTAAATCCTGAGTTAATGAGAACCTATGAAACAATCACAAATCACTTCATTTCCATAATACGAATCATGGAATTGCCTTAATAGCTACAATCAAGAGATGGGTCCCCTATTTTCAGCGCTGATTTTGTGGAAACCAAATTAAGTGGGTGAGCCCTCTAGCATGACCTGCAAGTCATAGGTGGTCATTATTGCCAATATAAAAGAAATTAGATCAAACAAAAATGACGACTGAATGATGAATAATGATTTATAGCATCTCTTTAGTCTAAAGGAGCATTTACAGGAAATCAAAAGAAGAAAGGGACACCTTAAGGAACAATAAATTCAATGATAAAAAGTACACAAAAAATGCCAAAAAAGAAAAAAGAAATTCAAGTCTGAAATAATTAAAGACCAGCCAAAAGATCATTCAGGATGATTGAAGAAAGATTAATAAAATGATAGCCCACTTAAAAGTTGCTCATGAGCTCACGTCGTGACAAATAAAATGTACAACCCTTCATCACTTATTTCCGCTTGGTTTAATACACAGGATGATAATACAAAATTCCAAAAAAAAAAAAATATTATAGTTAGGACAAAAATTAAGTTGCACAATTAAAATCACCATGACATTTCTAAGCAAATAAATAATTAAAACCAAAGAAATCACAGTTACAAAGGGATGTTTGGAGAATTTAAGAAAACCATTAGCTACTTTTTCAACATATTACTGCACTGCCAACTGGTATAGTGCTAGAATAAGTGAAAAATGAAAATGTGATACCTATCTATCAAAGAAGGAGATAGATGTTTACTCGAATTATGTCTAATAAGCCTAACCGCCATATGAGAAAATTGATAGTCAGTAATTGCCAAAGACTACTCACTGCCATCGTGAAGGGTATAATTGAACAATGAATCTCAGTGTGGTTTGAACAAAAGGATTTTCCTCCATACGAATTACTACCTTTTTCATGATTATGAATATGTTCGGTATATATGACTTCAATAAGCCTTTGATGGACCACACAGAAATTTTTGAAAGAAAGCCTTTAGTGTTTCATGAATCGGGAGAAATCAAGAGGGGATAGTCAGAATCAGTGTTCATGAGGTAGGTTTTGGGAGTTCCATAGGGTTAGGTTTGATTTCCACAAGGTAAGTTTGGGTGTTCCATAGGGATATTTTGCCTTGTTGTTCACAAAATCCATAAACAACATAGATGAGAGTATAAACACGACAATAATAATTTAAAGGAAACGATGGTGTAAATGTTTTTTTTTTTTCATCAGCGATGCCTAGAATAGGAGGAATCAGTTTTGAGCCAAGATGGAAAGGTAGTGCCACTCCTTGTGCATGGGCACTCTCCGGCAAGGAAAAGAGAAAGATAAAGAACCAAGTTAGAAAGCCTTAGAAGCACTCATGATAGTGAAAGGTTATATTGCACACACACCCACACACACACACATCACACACACACACACACACACACACCACACACACATCACAAGCACGCAAGAAATTAGAGAAAGTGCAAAGGTTTGCAACAAGACGATCCCCAGAGCTACGGATTGTCCTAGAAGAAAGGTTGAGGAAAATCGGCTGACACACTGGAGCCAGGAGGGTCAGGGAAACATGATAACACATTTAAAATACTGGCGCGGATTAGACAGGTGACAAAGACGGATGGTTTCCACCAAGATGGGACAACAGACACAAGAGTCACAATTTGGAAGTTGAAGACCAATAATCAAAGATGTTAGGAAGGTATTTCTTCAGTCATAGAGTAGTCAGCCATGGAATAGCCTAGAAAGTGATGGTGAGGCTGGAACCATACATATTTTAAAGGCGAGGTATGATAGAGCACATGGGCAGGGAGAGAGAGGAACCTATAGCAATCAGGAAGAGGCGGCCAGGAGCATGAACGACCCCTGCAACCACAAATAGTGAGTACAAATATGTGAGTACACACACACACACACACACACACACACACACACACACACACACCCACCACACACCACACAAACACACACACGCACTGCACTCACACTCATACCCCACACACATACGATATACCTAAATTCAAGAATCACAAAATACAAATTGTATGTCTTGGGTATATGCAAAGTACTTTAAAAGCCTATTTTAGTTATTAAAGTACAGTACCAGTTACATCAGCCTTGAAGACCCTCGTGTATCGATAACTTATAATACCAACAGGAAATAGTGAATATTATATTATGATCATGGGGGAGCTATCGCGGTGGATTATACAACACCGGTAGGGAAGGAGGGTTTCAGCTCAATTCAAGGGAACTGAGCACAGATCCATTCCGAATTAAAGCCCCTCACCAGTATCAAGGAACTCTCCCGTGAGGGGAATATGAAATAATACACTAAGCTGATAATTATCGTAAACTAATCTAATGGAAAGAATAATCAAGAAATACAAAGTTATAAAATATTCAAGAAATATTACCACACACGAAATCATGTAAAAATCAGCCAGATATGCAAAAATATCTAGTACCAGAAAATGCAGCTCGGGAGAAGTATTTGATTCTTATCACCAAGCCTTAGGTAAAATTCACCCCAAGAGAAAAAATGCCTATAATTAAAAATGCCCATTGTTTTCAACATCAGAGGCATTGAAAAGTTCATAGTTTTTCAGACGTATAAGATCAACGAAATAAAAAAAAAAGAGAAAGGCTTATTATTTATTATTATAATCAAAAAGATGCGCTAAGCCCAAGGGCTAACAGCGCTGTGAGAAATGCTTAAAGAGACTACACAACAGAAATAAAAAAACAAATCACAGCATAATTAAATAATTGGAAAATAAAAAGCCTATACACCACCAGATTAAAACTACACCCAAAACACTACTAACACCAGCCCATACCGAGCAAACCCAAGAACTAACATCAAGAGGAGGCAAAAAACATTTTCACACTATGCAACATCTAAGTCTAAATGGCTTCCAGGATTGGACCTTGCTCAGATATTCAGGCACAGATGACGAGGAAGAAAATAAGCAAAATCCTTCGAAAGAACAGTATAATTCAATATTTCAATGACCCCACAGCGAAGCCATATAGGTGAAGTTCCGATAGTAGAATAAGCCTGAGTCTATCTGGTTGAGTGTTTCCTGGGGGTCCAAGCCCCCTCGCGCCGAAAAAAAAAAAAAAAAAAAAAAAAACATTCCTTGATCAGCCTCCCCGTGGGTGCTAGGGCTGATCAA